CCTGGCTGTGCCCCCACACCACCGCCCCCTCCTCCTCCCTCCCTCCCTCCTCGCGTTTGCTTCCTCTCACTCAGGAATTATTTAGATCTCCATTTGGGTTGCTATTGGTCAAGCCGCTTCCAAACGGGCACCAGCACCGGGTCGCCCCCGGTTTAAAGGAACCGCACTGCCTACTCCGCCCGCTCCCCGCTCCCCAGTCCGCCGTAACTGCACGGAAAACTCCAGCGTCTTTGCAAGCAACCCCTTTCGCTTCTCGGAAACTTGGTTTTCCGTTCGCTCCCTCCTTAGATCGGCCCAACCTCTCAAAAGGGAGGCCTCTCAAAGACGCCGGCAAATATGCTCGGACTTACGTCCGGATCCACTTTCCTCCGTCCTGGGTGCCCCTTCCTCTACGACCGGGAAGCAAGAAATTAAATTTACCGCGGGGAGGGGTGGTGGAGGCTGAAAGACACCCGCGCTAAGTTCTGTTAAGAGTCCTCTCCCCCCAAATTTCAGCGTGGTAAGAAGGCGGCGAGATCTAGTGCAAGTCTGCCCGGGTGACCCACGGCGGGGAGAAAGCGTCGTTTTCGCGGAACAGGTTGGGTGCCAACGGATAAATCGGAGCAGGGAAAACAAGGAAGCCCGAAATAAAGGTGCCCCCCCCCCCGCTGGTGGTTTCTTAAGTTGCGGGCTCTGGATCCCGGACCAGGGGGTGAGGGGTGGCTTGGTGGCGACTTGAACCGCTAGCAATCTCTTAAAGCCGGAGCAGATTAGTTTTCTACTTGTTAGTACATTAAACAAACCAGATCCATTTAAATATAGCTCCCTGACTGACCTCTCCGTCGTCTGCCTATTAAGAATGCAATCAAGATAATAACAAGCATGGTTTATTAATGAAGGGTCCGGATAACGTTACGAGTCACTTTCGAAGAGAACACGCAGCGGGCAAACGTGCCCAGTCCCGCCGCTCGGCGGAATTTTCTCGCAGACATAACAAAACAGTCGGGAGAGAATCAACCCCAAACTCACCTTTGCGCTCGCTCGCTCTTTCCCCCTCTTTTAGGCGCCTAGCCGCGAAAGACAGCGCCGAGAGCTGGCATGGGAGACGCCTGGATGGCAACCTCCGGCTTGGGTGGTGGAGTTGGTTGGAAAAGAAAAACAGCATTTAAAACGCCAAAGAAGGGGCTTGAAATCAAAACTCCCCACCTTCTTGCCCAAACCTCTTTCGCGAGGCGTCCTCATCCCTTTCCTCCCCGTTTCCCAGCACCCCCGTTCCGCTTGCGCCGCAAATGCCGCTTAAATTATTGATAGTGGAAATTGCGTGATGGTGGTGGTGGAGGAAGTCATTGTGGCGTCCCCCGATGGAGTAGCTCCGTTTGATCGCGCTGGAGAGGGAGAGGTTTCATGCTCGCTCGCTAGAGTGAGCTACGCTCGGATCCACAACTCTCCCAGCCGTGAATGGAGGCTGTACGGGAAATCCACACGAGTGCGCCGCTTTGACGTGGATGTCAGATGATTCCCCCGCCTGCCTGTAAACGAGACACCCCTGCGTAGCTCACGAGCAATCAGATTTCCTCCACGCCACTGATCTCTCGCGCGTAGCAATAAATAAATGAATAAATAAATAAATAAATGAGGCGGCGGCGCGGCGGCGGCGGCAGCGGCAGCAGCCTGGGTTCCCCGCCCTTGCACGTGTCTTCTACCGCGGTTCTCGCTTCGCTTGTTTTGGGGCTTCCCCCTTAAATGCCGGGAGAAGAGGGTTTCCCTGTCGCGCAGGGATGTTTTTAAAAGAACTTTGAGGCCTGAACTTGATTTAAGAAGCTTTTGCTTGGTGTTTTTTTCCCCAAAAGTTGCTAAAGATTTATTTTAGGCTGAAAACTTTAAATTAGAATTTTTTATTGGCCAAGTGTGATTGGACACACAAGGAATTTGTCTTTGGTGCATATGCTCTCAGTGTACATAAGGAGAATAAAAATACATTCATCAAGAATAGAAAGATACAACACTTAGTGATAGTCAAGGTTACTAATAAGCTTTAATAAATTAAAAATAAATAAAAGCATTAGACGCTTCTCGACCTTGGCAAGGTGTGGACTTCCAACTCCCAGAATTTCCTCAACCAGCATGCTGGCTGGAGAATTCTAGGATTTGGTCCACACATTTCCAAATTTAACATGGTGCTGACTTAGAAAAAGCTTCCAAACCGTGTTGCCTGTTGAACTAAAACACATCTGTTAGTTTTGGACTTAGAAGGAGCTGGGTATATAGGCTCAACTCTTTCGAAATCTTTTTGTCTGGCAATCCCTCAAATCTTCATAGAAATGAGGACAAAAAGATGCCTTTTAGAATTAAGGAGGATGAAAGGCAACTATCAGTGTCTGACAGATTTCTCCCCTTCACTTCCCCATATTTTTTGTTTCTTTAAAAATAAAAATAAAAATGTGGTTGGAAATATGATGGTGGGATTTGAGGCTGAGTCACATATTCACAGGACAACAAACCACAGGATATCTGGTATGACATGAGAAGGCTCCCCTAGAAAATGGAATGGAACTTGAATTAAGTTAAGAAGATCTGAACAACCAAGCACACATGACTTTTCTTAATTCTTTTCTGTCATAAGGAAATTCAGGGATTATTGGGCAACTCATTAGTACATGGCTAATATTTGCATGGCGTGTTGAATTACAAGATAGCTATTTTATTAGCTTAGCATGGGGTCCAAGCAGGGGTTTTGTTCCTAAAATTAATGTGTTCTGCAAACTTAGAAAATGAGATTGACGGAGCAAACAAAATTGATCGGCCAGCACTGTGCCAAAGAGATAATGGTGGATTAACTAGTATGCTAATGATGAGTATGTCATTACCAACTATTGACTGAACAGATTGACTTCAAGCTTAAACATCTTGATAGGAGTTAAAGAGAGTCACCCATCAGACATTGCAACACATCCATCTTGCAGCTTACTTATACCTTCTTGCTATAAGTATTTTACTATTCTTATCTCAAAATCTCTCTCTCTCTCTCTCTCTCTCTCTCTCTCTCTCTCTCTCTCTCTCTCTCTCTCTCTC